GCTGTGTTCTCTATAGAGCTGCATGTGACTGTGACACAGGACGCTCTGATTTTAAATCTATCAGTACAATAACATAATAAATAACAATCTATTCGAAAATATGACCACAGCTTACCGTAAAACTCTGTATATAGAATTGTATTTGTGATATGTCATATTTGCTTCACCTAATAGAGATATTTTTAAATTTACAATAAAGGGCCCAATAGGGTATTTATGGGATATTGACCGATATACGGCACGGTGATGGGTAGGGGCTGGGAATTTTTGGAACTAGGCGAAAAAGAACATAAGTCTTTGCAGAAAAAAGTAGCAATAAAGAATATGCTGTCAATGAATGCTCTTCACAGATGTAAGAGAGAAAATTTTACATATGGTGTTCCCGCGCTGAGAAAGAAATCAACTCTTTTAAATATTGTGAAATAACTACAGTTAAATAAAATACGTTGTTTTATGCCTAATCCATTTTAACATGTATTCTGAATTGATTCTACAGTGTGTCACGAGCTATAGGTATTTTGTTTGTATTTCTTTCTTAACTCCATTTATATAACTGCACTTCTAAGATTCACCAACCCTGTAAGCGACTACTACTATGAAGCCCACGTCACGCGACTAATTTCGTTAGTGAGTCTAATGCCAACATTTTGATTCAAGCTCCAATTTGACTATTTAGTTACCGGCGCGACATTCAAGCGATCTAATGTCCCTTCCATGGACCTTGGTTAGAAAACTAAAGTGTATCATTAGTGCAAGTATTTCTATAATTTACTTTTTGTTTGTTTTGTGACTGAAAATATTAAGTGCGTCGAGGCCGAAAGGTCGGTATGTGAATAAATCAAGTTAGTCTCTTATAGCCCGTTATAATTTGTCCTTTATTTTGTGAACTGGACCTTTTTTGTACTTTCACGACTATTCTGATTACACATGCAAGGCGAATTGGGTACCAATTACAAGGAAGGAAGTCTTTCTTAAAGATAGAATGAACTCTTTAAAATAGTTTCAGTTCAGAACAACCTTGGTAACTTGGTAATTTATGTTTTCCTTAAGTGAGGACTTTCTTAAAACATATTTTAAAATATAGTTTATTTTGAAATGAAACATGTACTACCCTAGTAATGCAGATATAGATTTTTTGTGAACTACTGTCGGATCGGGTCTCCAAAGTATTGCAAAATTGTTGACAGAAAGTTCCTATCCAGAGTAAAGGCTAAAACTAGCCAGTAAACTAACAGTACCCTTTCCTTTAGACACTGATTGCCTCCACCAGTCCACTAGCCGTCATTTCCAAAATACATTTTATTTAGAGAGTAACTATTTGTCAGCTTTTTTAGTACAATGTACATGCTCTCTTCAGACATGACAAAATTGTATTACCGTCTGATAAGTGGTACTATTCCCAATGTCCCTTTGCAGTAATTACGTACAGATGGTCTAGGGGCAATATACCTACATCAAATTAATGTCATTACTTTGGATCTTAGCTGTTTAATTCTCTCTTCGTGTAAATTGATGGTGTCATCTACTAAATTACATCCAAAATGGGACTTGTTAAGAGTGTTAGACTGAATATAAGCTGTAGATTAGCTCTGAGTTACTGAGATGAGTGACTAAATTTGATGGTAGTAATTTGTTAAGGAATAGAATTTTCATCTAAGTAGTCTAGGACATGTCATCTAATAAAAATAATTGTGATATCTGCTTGAACTACCAATTAATTAGTTTAGGTATTTCTTGATATCATTCTTGATTGCACTTAATTTCTTTTGACTTCACCACGAAAAGGAAGCCTAAAAAGGAAGAGACAACAAAACAACAAAAATTTTTGTGGTATTTTGGCTTGGCTAGGTTCTCAATTCCACACATATACGAGTATATTTTCAGTGGTACTTTATAAAAGATGTCGAAGTGCAGAATTGAATGCCTTACAAATATAAAAAGCCGAATAGTTGATTTAGCGAATGAATATTTTTGGTCCTATATTTTTTATTGCAACTATATAACTAATCCAGCAATAAATCAACCATTAAATAAATAACTAAATAAATCTTAAGACGTAGTTATACTCATAAAATAGAGTTAAATTTTATGACCTAAGGTTATATATTTATGACCATATTATTTTCGGATTTCTCTAATTAATATAGAACTGTAGAATGTAGAAGATAAGTTATCCATTCTATCCACATCAATAGGAATTATGATATTATGACGGTTTACAGAAAGAATAGGTTAGATATATAACTATATTTATTTGCGGTATTTTTGAAAATAAAAAGTAATGTAAGTAACGTATATTATATATAGACTACACAGTAGAGAAAGCAATAGAAATTAATACCACAATGGCTCAGGGCTACCGTCTTAATTGAAAAAAAATATGCCTCTTCATTTTCCTGAGAAGTGAGTTTAAGATAGGTCGCTCGAGATACTGATTGCCTCCACCAGTTCACCAGCTGTCATTTTCAAAATACATTTTATTGTCAGAATACTATGGTTACTAGAAATAGGAAATTTGTATGAACACTGAATATGTTGGTTTTTCTCGCACGGTAGCTAAGGTGTAGCCACCTTCTCCAAAACAGCCTCCGTACGGCCACTAGACAATCCTTAAGGGAAATAACGCGAGATTCTTATAGTCACACTCTGCTTTAGGACTAAAAGAGTAAAAGTTACAAACAGTTATAATGATAATGATGAAACTAATACAGTATAATATTTCATATAGAAGGTGCTCTCATTAATGCAAACTTTCTTCACTACTTTTTTCTGTAACAGCTTATAGCCTTTACATTCCACATAATCAAAACTGCTTAATAGAGCAAAATAAAAATGCTCACGTTACCAATTCTTAAAGATTACTAGCTGTACCCTGTTGTGGCACATTGTGGTCTCATTGGTGAGAAATGAGTAATAAAAATAAAAGAATCAAGTAATCGTTAACCGACCGTAGAAATGAAGACAAAAGGCAAAAATGATAACTCACACTCACACACATAGATCCACGTCTAAAACATATTTCGTCATCTTTCGCAATAAATTTCCTATTTTAGCATCTTTTAGTGGTATATAAAACGAAAACGAAAGAAATGTACTTACATCACTAAATGTTAAGAAAAATGGCAGGGACGTGGAAATATTCATTCACTTGGAATCGATTTACGATCAAGAGTGAATTCGAGGTTAAATAAATCAGAAATATGTTTGGATATAAATATACGAATACTGTCGTAAGTTTATTGTTCTTGTAAATACTAACGTACATTTATGATAGTAATAAATAACGGCACGGCAGTCTGGATCTAAACTAGGCAAAACCATGGTATCCAGACTACTGATAGACATACTTATATATTTCTAAATACATACCTACATATTACAGATAAATTACACTCAGACACAGAACAAATGATCGAGCTCATCGCATAACTATTTCACCTAGGTGGGAATCGAACCCACAAACTATGGCTTAGCAGTCAGGGTAACTAATCATTAGACCAACAGGCCAGTCAGTGTTTTACTAATAACTATGAGAATTCTTATTTCAATATTTCTCGGCAAATTTATGGTTTGGTAAAAAAAATTGTTTCATTTACATATTTTATTTAAAAACTGTTTAATATCGACACAAATAACAGAGAACAATAATATACCTTGTATAAATTTCATGTAATTTCCTATAGCGTAAATTATATAAGAAAAACAGTTACCACGTTCAGCCGTTAGCGATCCCACGTTGTTAATGGCTTTATAAATGTTTATAGGACACACAACTGACGATTCTCGCAGGCCACTTTTACGACTTGTACTAAGTAAAACTGTATGAGTGTAACGAAAATAAACTAATTAACCTTTGTTCCAGGAATCATTCGTTTGAAAGTTTTTATTCACATTGACCTAATTATATAAAAAAAAAGAATATGATGTTTTAAAACCAAGGTTTATATCGGGGATCAATTTTGCAGTCTACCTAATGACAATTATACCTTGGTAAGGTAGTGTACGTACCATAAACAGCTCCGTCCTCGTTGTGGACACAGGAGAGTCCATACATCGATACGCCCCTATTCCTTTTATATTAGTAGAGCTCCGTACATAGAAAAAACGATCTTATGGGATTTGAAATAAAGAAAATGAATGAGACCAATGTCATAGAGTTATTTAGCTAATTTTGTTTTGGCAAATATTTGTTGTTTTAAACATCTGTTAAGTTTACATATAGCTGTAATATATTTACATAGTAACCTGCTAAAGAATTATATGTTATCATATTACTGACAATACGAATTACTATATTAACTTGCAATAACAAAGATATAAGCTTTCATTAAGCATATGCAGCTATAGTTAACATTAATCATACGAGCTACATACCTACTTAGGTACTACTCCAAAGACATCCGAGCTCATTTGAAATGCTGGCAAATTGCACTGCAGTCGACAGTCACTCGGGAAAACTTGCTTATGGCATAAATACGTTAGTATATGAATACATAAATGTATGTAGCAGGTATGACTAATATCGATAACATTTTCATACCAACTTTAGATTTTCCTACATTTTATGTTATTTTACTGATTAGCTCCTGAATACTACATCTTGACCAGGTATTTTACATAATGATAAAATAATTATAAATAATTTTTTTTCCACTACAAAGTATATAACAGATACATACAGATTAAATGTGGCAGTGTCTACATTATATTTGATTTTGGGGGTGGACTAGAACCTAAAGTAGGGAAACCCTATATTTAATATATGAATAGATATGTGTATAAATAATATTATCCAGGGCCCTTATACTGTTACGGATATGAAATTGCGAATAAAATGAGCCGAACCTTGAGTATAACCAACTTTCATTAAAAAATACCCATTGGAATTGTAAAGTATGATTTACAGATCAAAAATTTCAAGAATTAATTAGAGGTAGTATTTAATTGTAATTATAAATTCCGTTCAAAGTATGAATTTAGTATTTTTAATAAATCCGTAGTACCGCAACAAACTGAACGAGCAACAGAACGGCAGGCTGTCGGCACAGCGGGCAGCGCTGGGCGCGCGGCAGGAGGAAATGAGAAGCATCGACCGCCGCGTCTCAGAACTACAAGCAAGGCTGCTCAGAAAGAGAGCGTTGAATCGGCAACTTGCGGCTGCACATCGGCAACCACAGCAGCAACAGCAGCAGCAACAAAGGTTTGCATGCATTTGGTTTTACATTTAAACAATGAATCATCCGAGAGATGACACCACACACTCCACCGATTTGGAGAATGAATTATTATTTATTTGATATTTCAAACAAATTAACTAACTAGAACCATTTCAAACAAGTAGTAATACTCCATGATAGTAATGTAGTAATGAGATTAACTGGTCCCAATGTCATTAGATCTGGATCTGAAGATAGCCCATAAATCGTAATACTGTCGTATTATTTATTATGATTTCTGTGGATGATAGGATCCTGAAAAAGTCGAGAAAAATCTTCAAATATTATTGGTATACTGATAAGTAAAGTATTAAAAGTATTTGCATATTTTATAAAACTTGTGTATTATTTAATAGAAAATATCATTTGGTCAAATGGAACTGATGATGATTACCACAGACAGTGAACAGTAATACTTACCTACATTATTTTATTATCACTTAATAATAAGCATTTCGCGAATTTCGGGACAACCAGGTACTTAATATAATTGTTAATCTAGTTATTTTCATCACAATGCATATATTATGGTAAGGTAAGGATACTTAAAAAATAAGAATCTGCTACCCTAGGAGTACTTTTTTTTTATAAAAGCGTTTCCAACTCTTTTTAGCTAGACAATATACCTATATAGTAGTACCTGTATACCGATATACCTACCTACACAATAGGTAGATCTTAGGAGTGATTAAAGAAGTTAAGTTAGTGCACCGCTTTTAGTAGTTATTCATGAACACAATGTTCAAAGCAAGGTTTTACTTCATTTTGACTATTTGCCTTTTATCGTTATATTATTTGCCATCTAACTATTTGCCTTTTATTTCAGAACAACAAATCCGACTCCTATGCAACAGTTACCTAATTACTCTACCGGTAGCTCTGGGGTTAACAGTCAACCAAAGAACCAGCAACCTCGAGGCAATGTTGCTGCTGTTGAACCTTACAACCACGTGCCGCATGCTCAGAGCGTCAGTCATAACACTAATTTCCAGGTAAATTATTTCTAATTATAACTTAGATGCTTAGATGATCTAAGTAATTAAAAAAAATACCTTACATTACAACATTTACTTTTTTTAAGTTTCTAAATTATTTCAATATTAAAAACTGAAGTTATTATTGTAGCAAAGTGCAATCACGAAATTTTGTAACAAATTGACAATATAAGAATTACTATTATGAAAAAGCAACAATTTAACGGAACGTCATCACATCAAAGCTTGAAAATTTTATTCTCAAATTCTGTCTTTTAGGGATGCAACATCTTGATAAACAAAACGATTTTTGTATCGATTCCAAACATAGTCGGATAAATTTATTAATTTGAAAAATAAATTTTCGAAACAGGTTTTTTTGGATTTTGTATTTAGAGATATTTTTGTATATAAACCCAACCAAAGAAAATAAAAAAGATTCTATAACAATCAATCTTTTATCAGTTCTTAAGGCAATTATTTATTTTCACAACAAAAATAAAGTATCAGGTATATAAAACATTTATGATGAATATCAATTAGACAATCTGTCTAGTGTAGTAGGATCGAAGTGGTGCTGCTCATCATTTATCATCTTGCCGACAATCGAAGGAGTCGCTAGTTGCCCACAATAGATGTCAATAGATGCATTGTTGGATCATCAGTGTCTTGCTAGCGAGCAAGTAAACGTGATGATAAATTAGGTTTAGGATACTTGTTCAAGTGCACAACTGCTTATAATAAAATAGAGCTTAGATTTTTCGTTACGGTGATAGACGAATGCTTATTATTTTATAGGTCCTATGAAAAACTATAAAATTGTCTTGAAATTTATGAAGGCTTAATATATTATTATGGATTACTGAATCTCATGATAATTTGAATAATCAATTCCTATTGTTACCTACGGTCTCCTCTATTTAAAATTCAAACGTCAATTCAATGTCAAAACATTAAATTGGCGGCAATTGAAATAAAATGATAAAATAAAATTGCACAGTTGCATATAATACTACGCCTAAAAATAACTTTATTGTAAAAATTGTACACTAAAAATATATATTTTGAATTTACAGGCACCCATGAAGCAGAATGTAATACAAAATAACGTGCCATTAAAACAGCTGACTCAAAGCGATAATATTCAAAGTCACTTGACACAGCAAGAAGCACATTATTTACAACAAAAACAAATGATAAACCCATTATTCAACGGATATCCCAACACTCATTTACAAGACAATCAGTATCAGGGACAATACCCGAACAAACATGACAGTTTCAGTCATGTTCAACAAGGAATTAGCAACGCTTACGATCAGAAATCAATGCTCGACCAAAATAAATACATGGACTATTTGAAACAGCCGCAATACAGTCCAAACAGCACAAGTAGTTCAAATAGCAATCAAACAGGCAAGGATTTGAAGATAAACGAGCAAGAGTTCCCGCCTGAATTTGCAGCGAGTAAATCAGACCCAAAATATCAAACTTTGCCATATAACACCAAATTCCCTCAAAGCACTAATGGGAAGCTAAAACCTGAAGCGAATGGGAAAAGCAATGAAAACTTGGAGAAGAATGCTATCAACGTCAACCATATGACTGTGCATTCTACACCACTTTCAGTTGTGAATAAAAGTTTAGCGACACCTCTAAGTCAAACAGAATCTACATATCAGCAAGATAATACATATCAGTTGCAGAAATCTGACTCTTCTAGTAGATGTAATCAAGAAGGAAAGGAAAACCATGCATATCCACAGAATAGGCTAAGTCAGAATAATAGTCAGAACAATGAAGGTTTAAAAGGAAATGTTAAGCAGCCAGTGCTAAAGGGCAGTTCACCTAGTTTAAGTTCTAATACAACTTCTGCCAGCAGTTCTATTGGATTTGGGGTGAGTTTTACTAAACTTAAAAACTAAGATTAAAATGTCCTTATCATTATTCCAAAATATACTAACATTACCAATCATTAAGTGCATAATATGAAAGTTTTATTTCAATAATTGGATTAAAATATTAGAAATGTCCTTATAAATATTTATGAAATTATTTTTCTTTGTTTTGGCCCATTTGTAAGAACGACTTAACTGCTGTGTGGAAAACCATAAATCATATAAATGAAATACCAAATAAAAGAAAAACTTGTTAATGTTTTATGGGTATCACATAAGTGCACATAATAACACTACTACATTCTATATTTTTAATGTTTCCAAGGTTATAATGGACTAAATTAAATGAACTCTGACATAGTTAGTCCTGTAAATAAATGTATACATAAAACTTTAATACTTTGATTTATATTTTGTACTAATAATAGTAAACTAACATACCTAACTAAATAGGAAATCACCATCTATTGTTTTTATTAAGTAATCATATTTGTATTCTGTAATCAATGTACACCGTTTGTTCACCTCACACCATCACACCTGTAAATATCATCATCATTCATTCATTACAGAAACCTGTATCGAGTGTAGCACCCACATCAGTTCAGGTCTCAAGTGGGAAACCATCACCCATTTACCAGACATCCTCCACAAAGATCCAACCGGTCCAACCGCAGACCGTTCAAACCCAAAGCATCACTGTATCATCATCAAATCATGTAGCTAGTAATGTGGTGACCTCCCAACCCCAGATCGTTAGAAACACTGCATCAGGGCTGTCAACTAGTACTGGAAGTTCAACATTTGCTGGACAGAATGCGTCATCACAGAGTATCCTGTTATCGCCACCACAAAGCGCCAGCACACCATTGTCTACTCCTGATGTCAGTACAGACAAATCTCCTAAACCTGCCCTACCTCCAAAACCCACTATCAAGGTATGTTATCTAATTGTATTTATTCTATAATAAACTATCTGACCAAGCAAAAATTGTTCTGCCATATACGAGTATACTAAGATTGTTATTAAAAAATCAAAATACTTTAAGATCTGCTCTAATACCTATCAAATATACAACAAGCTGTTTTGGGGTAGTGTAAATACAAACACTGTGACGCAAGATATATAAATATCTCTCAGTCAGTAGTTGTGGACACACTACAAATGTATGGTACGTATTTCATGTACAGTGTGTATTTCATGTACACGGTTAGAGCTGACAGGAAAGGTACCAGCTGCTTTCCGTCTGAGCATATATTGACACTTTACCCCTTTAAAAACCGCATCTAGTACTGGAGTAGTGACCATAATAGCAGTTGAAGCTGTGGTAAATGGCTGTTAAATAGTATATTATAGTTAGTCTTCCTGTAGGTATATAAATAGGTATTATGTATGTGAGAAGATCTGTTAATCCATTATGTGTTGCATTACAGACACCACCTAGACAATCAGTAAACAATGACGTGGGCTTCAATCAATCCGTTGATAACATTACACCAATGCCCACCATACCCTTGCCTTCGGACATATCCAACGACAGTGAACCGCAGCAGAAAGAATCAGTCAGCAGTACGAGTAGCAACGAAATGATCATTAAAGCACGCCCACTCACTATCAGAAAACCACCGATGAGTGAACAGCCTAAACTAAGAAATGTTAGCAATGCCAAGAATGGAATAAGCGTCAGTATAAACAGACGTATAGAAATGCCTCCAGCATTTTTATTCCCTGAAATGGATCATTTAGAAAACATGCCTAATGAAAACGGCCTTAAAGAGAAGAAACAAAAGGACGAAGTTGATAGGGCTTTGAATAATAATAACATATCAATAGATAGGCAAGATGATAGTAAGGATATTTTAGTGTCAGATATCACAGAACAGATCAGTTCTGTGGACTTGAACGGTCAGGATTCTCAGGGATCTGAGAATGTTCTGAGGCGGACAAAAAAGGGCAATTTGAAGCAAGGTGGTAAAGCGCCGTTGACTAGGCGAGTTAGCTTCGATCCCCTCGCGCTTCTGTTGGATGCTAGTTTAGAAGGAGAGTTAGAACTTGTCAAGAAAACAGCAACACAGGTAATATATGATTATAAAAATGGATTTAGTAAACCCTCATTTTGAAAATTACATACATATTTATATTCTCAGGTTTAGGATCATTTATTTCTTACAAAGAATAACATTAACTATTCCCTTACATGCGAAAAACAAATTACAGTTTCATTGACGACTGAAAGGCGTAGTGGTTTGTGTAACGGACTGCTATTCCAAAGGTCGCGGGTTCGATTCCCGCTCAAGTCAAACATTTGTGTGCATGAACATTTGATGTTTGATTTGGTCTGGGTGTTTCTATGTATAATATGTATGTATTTACAAAAAAAAGAAAGTATATATGTATTTATATCAGTTGTCTAGTACCCATAGTACAAGCTCTGCTTAGTTTGGGACTAGATGGCGTTGTGTGTATGTGGTAGAATATTATTATTATTATTGATTGAGCTGTGATACAGAAAAAAAAATTGAAACAAAATAACAAAACAATTTCTTACACAAATATACTAAGGGTAACTTAAAAACATTATGCATTCCAAACATTCTTCTATTCATTCATATTCATACACATCTATATTCATATTCTATAATTATTATTGTCATTAAAATGATATTTATAAATTTAGTATTGAAACTAAGCTCAATACGTAAAAAATAATAATTAAACAAAATTAATATTTACAAGAATAGTTTATCAGAGTCTATTTTCATAGTCGTGGTTCTGACTATCTATTGGTAAAATAGAAAAGTCAACCATTATTAGTTTTAGATATTAAGTAGACAATTAAATTTCAGGTGCAGAACGCAAGCGCTGCAAATGACGAAGGGATCACGGCCCTGCATAACGCCATTTGTGCAGGACACTTTGAAATTGTCAAGTAAGTTATTCTAAGGCAATTCTTGTCAAATATATATATAATCAACTTAAATGAAAACTCCTAAAAAAATGATCATAAAATAATATACATATAATCAACTTAAATGTAAACTCCTAAAAAGGCCGTACAGAAACTGAAATTATATCATCCAAGTAAACAATAATATTCATTAAAAATGTTCATAAAATGAAAAGAGAAGAGAATATTAAAAGGGCTGTCAAATGTAAAAAAATATGTCCATAATCCCAAGGGCGTTTAGATATCAGTTTGTATCATTTACTAAAATACAGCCTAGATCTATGTGTATTCTTCTAAAAAAAAGAGCCATTAGTTAAATTGAAATAGTGAGCGGGAGATTAATTAGTCAAGTTCACTAAGGACGTGCATTCTCGTAAGATCTTGGAGATTAAAATAAATTTATTCAAAAAATCATTTGAAGCCTTAACCCTCTTTTGATAAGGGTAATAATTGAAATCACACTAACGTATTTGTGGTACCAACAAAATCATTGATATTCTCGCCTATCACTTTTACTAAAGTATTCTAATAAGGTTTTATGTTTATTTCCAGATTTCTAGTGGAGTTGGGATGTGACGTGAATGCACAAGACTCAGACGGTTGGACACCGTTACATTGCGCCGCGTCATGTAACAACTTGGCAATGGTCCGCTTCCTTGTTGACAATGGTAAGTCACGTATTATGCAGGTGACCTTTCAAAAGTAATGTTATTTTAACGCCATCTAACAATTTTTTTACGAAAATTTCCAGGTGCATGTATATTCGCAACGACGTTGTCTGACCACGAGACGGCGGCTGAGAAGTGCGAAGAAGACGAGGAAGGGTTCGATGGATGCTCGGAGTACCTCTACAGTGAGTTTTTCTGCATACTTTTAGGTTCTAGTGTGAGTAAGATGATGTTAGGGGCACTGTTACTTTAAAAAAAAACTATTTGGTATTTACATAAATAATAAGACCGTACAATCTTTTCAATCTGCGCTGTACTGTTAAGGTAGCATTCGGTTCTTTGCGACCGCGACTACGCGACCATAGCTATCCGATGTCAGTGACGCGACGAGCGACCGCGATGCGTTGTATCCTTTTGCAGTGCAATATGTATGAAAATTTTGCTGTAGCTAGGAAAAAATCTATTCAGCAGCTGTTGGAGGATAAAGACGATGATTATAATTATATTACGTTATTATCTGTCTCCGGAAAAAAAATGAACATTGACTCAATTTTCACATCGCGAAAAGAAGAGTTGCTTCTTTTTTTTATTCACCAATTCAATCAATTCCTCGTCCTCGATCGGTCGAAACGCTGCCATTTTAATGCGCTTCTCGCCTGCATCAAAAAATGTATTCATCTATGCAAGTCTTAAGCAGGAAAAAAGTGCGTAAAATCCTTAAAACGTGTCACTATAACATTCCAAACAAAAATTGTTACCATTAGTTAATATAATCATTTGCAATTCGCAGGTGTCCAAGAAAAGCTCGGTATAATGAACAACGGGCTGGTGTACGCGGTGTTCTCGTACACGGCATCACGTAACGACGAGCTGTCGTTCGATACGGGCGAGAGACTGCAAGTGTTGAGGAAGGGCGACGACAACGAGCGCGAGTGGTGGTGGTGTCGGGACGACGCAGGGAACGAGGGATACGTGCCCAGGAACTTGCTGGGGGTGAGTTAATATCGTTCAGTTTTCAGCTTGTGGTATAACTCAACTTACCATGATTTTTCTAGAAATAGTGTCTGATATATATATGTTGTATTAACTTATGCAAACCAGGTAGTCTAGTATTATATATAGAATATAAACAATTAAATGCCCCATATTCCAATATCCACTAAACTTCTAAAATCGTTTAAGAGTTAAAGATCGATGACAGCAGCGACAGTACTGCTGTCATTACAGATATAATAGAGTAAATAATGATTCTGAATCATTAGTAAACCTTTGGAATCCTACAGGGCAATACCTCATTAAGTAGTGAACAGTGTGTCAAGAGCTACTATTAACATGCTCCACAAGGATGGGCAGTGGACGATAAGCGCTGCTGTTAGTGCTAAGGGACACTATACTTATTTGTACTGAAATGTTAGCGTTTAAATATCAAAAAATCCTTAACACTTGAGAATTTATTCTTGACCATTCTCATACCAAAATTACTAGCGAAAAAAGTTTAGGAAAAAAGATATTAGATTTTGAATGTTTTGCAGTTAAGTACTAACATATTGTTAATGTTTTGTTTAAAACTAGATGGCATTGTGTCAGATAGCCGAATATATTATTTTCATTATTATTACAGTATATGAAATAAAAAATAGAAAAGCATAATATCTATGCGAGTTTAACACTAAATTAAACAAAAATAAATAACAAACGGGGTGAGTCCAGAATATGACAGGATCTAAACGACGACGTATCGACATTTTGAAAATATCGATGTATGTCTATTGATGTGCCGTTATCAATGACAATGTATTTTTCTCATCATACTGTGTAATGTATATTTTTTACGTCGGAAAATAACGTAACTATATTCTATTTCTTTAGTGTTTTTAAAATCGTTTAAAGAGAGTCAAAAACATTCTAAATTATTTCTAATTATGTTGATTCAGTCACTCTACCGTACGAGTGAAGCCGTGGGCAGAAGCATATTCATGATCATAATAGGTTAACCTTCTTTTGATTTTTCAGCCAAGGCTATTAGAATTGATATTGGTAAAACATTTCATAATATAATATTGCCACCACGCATCCCTAGTCAGTTATACGTGATGGCGAATCTGACATTACGTACTTAGGTCAGATTTTATTAAATCTTCAAAAATATCCTTCTACAACACATGGTGGTGTAATGATAAATCATAGAAAAAATATTGATTAAGTTTACTGTGATTCGATTTTTTAAACGCTTAAGTTTTAGGTAAATATCGTTTCTGCCGTTGTTCTGTAATCTGTATCTGTAATCATTTTGCTTTAAAATCTGAAAATAACGGTCATGTTTTAATTTGTTTCAGTTATACCCACGAGTAACCGCACAGCAAGAATGAAGGCTTAAAATATTACCTGATTAATTTGTAAATATCTATTAGTTACTTTTATTTTTTATGTATTTATATCACTGTAATCTAAAAGTAACGACGCTGTATACAATTTTATCAAATCTATAATATTTTGTAAATATTTAACTGCGTAAGTCAAATGAATGAGATTATATTGTACATTTTATAAATATTTTGAGTCATCACCGATATTATTGGTCATAAAATTTGTATATCTTAGTTCTGCAAATGTTGTGAACTACACATAAACTGACAATACAAATAATTATGAAGAATTATATATGGAGTTTTATTTACCAATTAAAGTATTTTTACTGGTGTACTTTACCCGACTTAGTTTGCTACCAATTCTGGACCCAACACCACCGATAATGTTTGCTTTTGAGGATGTTGCGTCGAACTGTTCTTTCAAAAGGAGTGGTATGTCTACCTCTTATTAAAGCAATCCCCAATAAATTCATTAGAACTGCTCATTAGATGAGCTGCTTGTTGAACAGTGTAATGTTGAGGTTCATTTATTTAGTACACGAACTTTGCTAACCTATGGTGCAAACAGTAACCTTCTAAGCTGTAGGATAGAATATTACGTAATGAACGTATAATATGAGGGGTTAAAGTATGAAATTGCCAATTTGTACTAAAAAAATGAAACTTGTTTTTTTCTAAGTTTTTACAATCAAATATTTAATAATAATATATATTATATATATACATATATATATATATAGTACAAATCGGCAATTTGAAAAAAAAAAACAAAAATGAAACTTGTTTTTTTCTAAGTTTTTACAATCAAATATTTACCCTCATTATCTATACATTGCTGCCACCAACGGAAGTTTATTTCTGCCTTTACGACAAAACTGGGGATCTAGATTCGACAAACTGTGTGAAAGCATTTTGTACTGCCTCCTGGGAAGATTTTTTTTTTATCACTTAGAAAATTGTCCAAATCACGAAAAAAATGGAAGTCCGTTGGAGCATGGTCTAGCGAGAAAGAAGAATGACGTATGGTTTCTAACTGCAGCTCCTGCAGAGTTACAACGGTTTCTCGTGCAGTGTGAGGTCTTGCGTTGTCATGGAGCAATAGTGGTGAAGATCGATTCACAAGTCGGGGCTGTTTTCGTCATCATTGGTCGAAGTTCGGCACAGTAAACATCTGCTGCTATTGCCTGACCAGACCTGAGAAAGCTAAGTGAATAACACCATGAAGAGACCACCAAACAGTTACCATTACCTTTTTATTGGTAAGTTTTGCTTTAGGTCACTGTTGAGACGTTTGACCTGGTGTCAGCCATTGCATTTTTTGCTTACGGTTGTCGTAAACAATCCACTTTTCGTCACATGTCACAATTCGACCCAATAATCCTTCATTTCTGTACTAATTTAATAAGGCAACACAAGTTTCAACACGCATTTCGTTCTGCAGATCAGTCAAATCATGAGGCACCTTTGGCGTAGTGACATGCAATACGCGTAGTGATGTGCAACGCCACACACCCATTTTCCATATTTTTTTTCTTATTGATTTGATGCAAATGAGTTAATATTGTAAATGGAGCAACGTTAAACCATGCTCTTAATCCCTAGTTAGTTTGACTGGGAACGACTTCCACTATCTCCTTCAATTCAGCGTTATTCACCAGTTCTACGTTGGAACTCGTATTCAAAAATTCTCGGCATTGATATTGGTTATGGGCTCAGATTTCCGCATTTAGACTCGAGAGTGGTCCTTTATGCGTCTAGGAGGTTGGTTTGGCAAGCCAATCAAGAAGCCAATTCCAAGCCATTCAAGAAGCCTTCCAGAAGCGCAGAATCCTCCTGGGACGTTCACAGGCTTCTATGAGCGACTTTGTACCAGGTATGGTATTCCAGGATAACGTGGGCGGCTACTTCTACTGCTTTTAGGCATCCTCTGCAGAGTGCAGTCCGTTCCATTGATGGTGAATAGTTGTCGGTTCAGGGCTAGGTGTCTTATGGTTCCTACAACTCTTCGGATATCTAGTCTGCTAAGACTAATCAGTCTGCAAGTAAGTCGTGGTGAGACTTCAGTCAGCACTAGTTTGGACTGTCTGCAGCCGGGTACATTTTGCCACCGGTTTGCGATTTTCGGTGTGCGCTTCACGAGTACGCTGTCTAAGCCCAAGATCGAAGTTGGTTGAAGGGCAGTGGCAGGAGTGTGGTTAGACCGGTGGCCGAGGTTGCCGCGCCCCTCCTTGCCAGCTCATCTGCGGCGTCGTTTCCGTGTGAATTACTGTGCCCTTTAATCCATTGGAGTACCCATTTGCTGTGCCAACTGCTCCAATGCTTGATGGCATTCGAAGACAATACCAGAGGTCATTTTGTTGCCCTCCGGTGCCTTTAGGACGGCCAAGCTGTCTGACAGTATTCCGATGTCTAGTATAGTAGTATATGGTCCTTAATATCCTTTAAAATGGCCGTTGTGGCGGCGTAAGATATTGCCACGCATTCGCATTGAAATATGGAACTGTGTTGGCCTAATATGATATGTGCATATTTAGGTCTTGTGAGAAAACTCCGGATCCAGTTCCTGACCCAGTGTTGGAACCGTCCGTGTAAATTCGGACTTCGTTTATGCCAGATTGGTTTCGGTCATTTTCTTGTGTCTTAATGTTGTATCTCTTTGTGAAGAAATTGTGTTTTGGGATCCTGTCGTTTTTGTGCCACAGACCCAGGTGACTGAGTCTAATGATCGCCATGGCTGCCTCCTGCTGTATGAACAAGTCCAGTTAGGGCAGACCAAGAGCCACCTCTTATGCGGCAGTTGGCGTTGTGCGCATAGAGCCAATGACCGCAGAGCATGGGAGTCGCTAGAATTGCTGCAATCTATTTATTACGCTGTTTAGCTCTGTTCTCTGCCACCAGCCATGTATCGTGCTATCTATCCTTAGATGTAACCAACTATTAGTTTTGCTGATTCTGAACAATTTTCGTTATTAAGAAAGCCAACAAGAATATCCATCTTCCCCACCCCCCGACTTCTGACGTGTGCAACTTACATAGACCAGTAGTAATTAAATTATCTCGAGTTAGGTTAACTACTCACAAAAAATAAGCTATTTGTATCTTCCAGCTCACATTCAAGCTCACCAAAACGAAGACATATGCTTGGGTAGCAATTTCATCGCTGAAATGCTTTTCTATGCCAAAATCAACTAGACCATCATGTTTTACCAGCCTACAGGGTTTGGTGTCTATGCGTCATATCGTCTGACACAAGGACGAATAATAATTGTTTGCCTAATAACGTGCTTTTCTTTTTTTAACTTTTAGAAGTCATTAGTCTGATATTTCTGGAGGGTAATACCAGGTACACGTTGTAAAACTCTTTAGAAAAAAATGTATTTTGTCTGATGAAGTTTTTGAATACTAAGCATGCCTTTTAAGTTCTAACGTTTCCCTATTACCTGGCAATTTTGAATTTAGAACTGTTTTATATTCGAATGTGTTTAAATTTTGAATCTCAAAACAGTTGAAAGTATTAGGATTAATGCTATTGTTTAGTCACAGCGTCGATTGGAATCTGTCAGGTTACATACGAAAATGAATCTTTCTAAGGATGTTCGTGCAATAATTTTCTACAACTTTAGAAGAGGCCTCACACGGCTTTAGTGATGAAGCCCCATGTCTACGAACTGTCAAAACGCTGGTATTTAGAATTCCAGCGTGGACATACTAGTGTTAGTGACAAATCTCGCGAAGGACGCCCAAAATCCGCCTTCACTGAAGATAACATCAATGCTGTGAGACAACTAATTCTCGAGGATCGTCATGTGACGTATCGAGAGATAGAGGCTTTATTAGGCATCTCAGGGACAACCATTCAGAAGGTCTTGCATGAAGCGCTTGGTGTGAGAAAGCTAGCCGTTGGATACCGCATCTGCTTTCCGACGATCACAAGGCGGCCCGCGTCAGATGGTGTAAGAAAACTCTGCAAAGGTTCAACCGAGGAGACTCAAATCACGTCTACGACATCATCAGTGGTGACGAATCTTGGATCCATGCCTACGATCCTGATTCCAAACAACAATCTACAATCTGGGTCTTTCAAGACGAGCCAAAGCCGACTAAACTTGTTCGTTCTCGAAGCACTTCAAAGAAGATGGCGGCCACGTTCGTTGGAAAAACCGGCCATGCTGCGACTATTCCACTTGAAGACCGTAGAAAGGTTAACGCAGAGTGGTATACCCCAAATTCATTGCCGAACTTCGAAAATCTAACTCAAAGCGACGCATCATCCTGCACCACGACAACGCAAGCTCACACTTTTTACTGCTTCAAATACTCATCGAGTATTTGAAGCAGGAAATAGTAGAAATACTTGACCATCCTCCATACAGTCCTGACCTAAGCCCTGACGATTTCTTTACATTTCCTAAAATTAAGAAGTCTTCGTGGTCAAAGATTTTATTCCGGTGAAGAAGCAGTCGACGCTTTCAAGTCAGCCATTTCGAACACCCCCACTTTAGAGTGGAATAACTGTTATACTAACTGGTTTGAGCGAATGGAAAAGTGTATTAAGCTACGCGGTGAATACTTTGAAAAACAATAAAAAGTACTATATGGTTCTAGTTGTTTTTTTTTTCTTCAAACGACAAAACTTAAAAGACATGCCTCGTATACATAAACGTTTTGAAACCGCAAGCCATTTTCGTGCAAAAGACCAAGTAGGTAGTAAATTAGTTTTTCAACAATTTTATGGGCCAGAGATGATACAACGTACTGTGTTCGGTAATAATTCTCCATCGCGAAGTCTATTCTTTGGCAAATCGTCACAGATTATATTAACATATAACGATTGTGGTTGTTTGACAAATTTCATGATCGATCTACCGGTTGATTTGTAATGGCTAGTAGCCGTATAGGCTAACTTGAATATTTATAAGCTGAAAAAAAAGGTGGGACAGAATGCCCAATACTGCTAATGTCTGAAACGCATGACGTGTCTTAGCATCATTTATACTTCATGAAATTTATAATTCTCGACTTATCGATAGGGACAGAACTGGAACTGTGAGCAAAAGAATATTTAAATTATTAGACAACGCCCGCACTAGGAATATTTCCTGTGTCCACGGGACTTTACAAACATTTCTTAAACGGACACAGAAGACTCAGAACATCAATTTGAACAGAATTGAACCCATAACACTCAGCGCGCCATCCGTGCACGCAAACTATTCAAAGGTGTAGGAACTTTACTTTTAGAGTTTCGAGGACCAAGTTCAATTTAAACCAATGTCCTCTAATGACTGCTCGATAGAATAAAAAGAAAATTAAGAGAGTAATATTTTTACTGTCAATCTCGTGTTCATTGACCATTATATGGAACAGTACACCGACAAAGCAGGAATAAAGTGCAAGTGCCAGACTATAAAAATCCAAGACAAATAATTGTGATAAGCACAATTGTTTGTTCTGTGTCTGGGTGTAATTTATCTATATCTATATTTTTAGAAATACTTAAGTATGTTTATCAGCAGTCTGCTTCTGGACAGGCTCTGCCTACTTTGGGATCAGGCTGCCGTGTGTGAGGTTTGTGATGTTATTAGTTAGTATTATTATTATTATCAATTGTTCTATTAATTGAGCTAAGAGTCTAATAGAATAATAGCCACATCATAGCACTTCATATCAATGTGAAGACAATGGACCTTAAATTAAAATCACTGTCTGTGTAATATTATAAAAATTTATTATCTAAATACAATTACATGTCTCCCTCATCGGAGTCTTCGATATCGGCGAGAGCCTGTTGTGCCAAATTCTCAGATTCTGTTGCAATCTCTTTCGGTACCAATTGATGACGTCCTTTCGTGTCCTTTGATACCCAGGACAGCTCTAGCTCAAACTGCTTGTCTTTTAACTCATCATGTACCAGGTATATGCTGAAATAAAAAAAAACAGGAATTCTATTAGTCAGTCTAGCTTTCATAGTGCAAGATGGCGTTGTGTGTCAAATATGCGAAAATATTGTTAATATTATTATTATCCGTCCTGGGTTATGCTCTATGAGGGGTTTGGTTTGTAATAAAGAAATAAGAAAACGGAGGTGATAAGTGTTTACGTATCATAGGGCAGACGAGAACATAAGAAAAGTACTGAAGACAGCAGCAACATGTGGTTCCCTATGGGATAGAAAGTAAACAAGATCAAATGGTAGCGTATCTATTAATACTAAAGCTCGCCAGGACATTCAAGTTTTAGATTCCTCCACTCGGGAAATTAGTTTACTAGTGGTAATAAGAATTTTTCTTCATGTGTTAATATTATACCTAGATTAAATAGTAGCTTAGTGATTATAGATTAAAGTTTCAAAAGACATTGTTGATATTATAAACTCGACCTAAACATGACTCTCAAACCGCAAGAAACTCGACGAAACATAGATCTGCCTAATGCTTATGGGACCACTTTTTTTCGTATTTTTTTAACCTGCTACCTCTTGCATAACTAGAGACCTTTTATGCTTGTTTCTTTGGGCTTGTAATATTTTTCTTTTTTCTTTTTATTATTTCATTTATTTCTGTTAATAACTTATTGGCAAAGTTGGTCGGCGAATAGCAGGAATTTATACCGGGTTTCTACATTTCTTAATACGAGGTGTGCCTCTTCTTTCACGAACTGTACCCCCAAGGCGTTGCTCAGCTTCATATCGTTGAGCTCCGAATACGGGGCAGTCAAATGTAATGTGTAGGACGGTTTCCTCCTGAGCTGGGTCGCAGATACTTGACGGGCTCTCCCGACACTTGAAGGGATGCAAGTATTGGGAGAATCCCGTGAGTATTTGCGTAGCAACGCCTTGGGGTCAGATCTTCCGCACCAGGCAGTACGCATCGCTCGCGTCTGGGAAAAACACACTCGTGGTGGTGGCCATGTGGCCCGACTGATATCTCCGGTTCTATTTGTCAAGCGAGTCGCTGCGTAGTTGTCGCTTTACGAATTAAACCGGGCACAGGTCGTAGTCGGGCCTCCGACTCGAGAGTGCGGCCTCCTTTGCCAACTGGTCGGCGCGCTCGTTGCCGGCGATGCCGGCGTGGGCCTTGATCCAGAACGAAGTTACATCTTTGCCCTGGGTCAATTCCTCGCTGAGGTTTCGGCGCTCCTGGATTGCGAGAGGATGCAGGGTCCCGGGGTTCGTCACTGCTCCCCGCACTACAGTTGAGGATTTCGCTCGAAGCTCAGTGCATGGCCAAGAGCTCGGCTTGGTAGACATTGCAGTACGCTGGCAAGCAGTTTTCCGCGCCACACTTCGGCCCGGCTGCTTTGTGACTTTGTATATTATGCGTACGACCTCAGGGTGCAGCCTCCAGCTTATTTTTGATGTTGTCGAGAGCTATATGTAAATGTATAGGGCCTTCCTACAGACGTTGCCGACATGAGTCAGCTCGTCTATAGTAAGCCCCAGAATCTTTAGCTCCGGGACATGCCAATGTCGACCCCGCAAATGCTTGGCAGGTGACGCCCCGTTCTTGCAAACCCTTCAGGAGGGGGTCTAAGAGGATATTCCGAAGAACGGGTCCACTTATGGACCCCATGGACATTGGCAACCATTTAGACAAGCTAACACAACAATCCACCGGGATTTACGGTGGACTGTTTAAAAATTTGAGAGATTAAAAATTTCTTAACTCTTTTATTTTTTAACCCTAGCCAAGGTCATCATATCCTCTTGGAATGTAGTCTTTGGTATAATGAACGTAATATAATGCTGAACAGCTTGCAGATGACATTTGGGGCGGTAAACTATGGGGATCTTGTGTCAACTACGGTGAATTTCCGTGCGTTTAGGCGATTTTGTCATACATATCATAGAAATCAGATATAGGCTGTGGTGCTTCCCTGTATAAAAGTGTATGCCAAGAGGAAGGCAAAATGAAGTAAAATATTACTTCATTTTGTCTCCCGCTTTGCCAAGGAGGGTAGTGGATTTACTGTATTTCCAACTCCTTCAATTTTCTTTTCATTAATTTGTTTGCGGGTTCCAAGACAGTTTAATTTTTTTTTCTTGGGACTGCCCGAGTGCCATAACTTAACTTGTGTTTGTGGGTCACTTCTGTTAATCCTGGTGTACAGGAGTTACAGTGGTGGGCGTGTGGCAGGGATTAGTCCGATTAACCAAGCAACCAACCTAGCCAAGAGTTACGTCAACATTGGATACACATAATCAGTACCACATGCTAATCAGAATCAGATTTATGGTATGGCTTGTCAGAAGAAGAATCTTCTTGAATTATCTTAATGAGACTTACACTAACAAAGATTGGGAGACCTCAAAACTAAAGACAACTAACATAACTAAGAAAGACTGTAGAACACACTAAGAATTCAGATAAACGATTCTAATATTGGATCAAGGTCGGTCACACAGAGTTTTTTTATAAGATCTACACATAAAAGCATATAGAGCATATTAGCAGACACTCTGCCCAACACAGCCCATAATGTGAATGTGTTGCAATAACCTATATTTTTACTGCTTTTGACGTAAGAGGCATGAAGGAGTAAAAACATTGAACTCTCATATACTGTTAGGTTGTGTGGCCTTGCTAAAGACCATGGGAGATAATGCTCTGAATTCTGGGTACATTTATGAGGCCAAGAAAGACTAGTTTTAAGCTTCAGCCAATATAGTATTCTTTCACTGGATCTTAAGGCATAACTATTCACTTGGAAACAATACCGCCTATTAATGGTTACTATATTAACACCTATTCATTTTCAATAGACCACCCTCTGTGTGTAAGAAGCAGTACTTGTAAACCTGGGGTGTGATGGACTGGCCACAAAACGTTTTAGTGTGTGCGGCAGCTGAGAGGCAGCTCCTAGATGCCACTTTGTTACCGAGAGACAGACAGAAGCCTCTGAAGAAGGCTTCTGTGCTACTTACTGAGCTAGGTTAGGTCAATCAAACAGCTGAATCTGATACACCATGGACTGCCTATAAATTTTAATGTGGAACCAGAGTACCATTACCACCACAAATCCATGAAATTCATTTTTGTTTTAGTTAGATTACTTACATTCTAGCAGCCTCCTTTACAAGCTCCTTAACTGTCATATCAGCAAGCTTGAGTTTTTCAATCTCTGTCTTAGCAGCCTGTTTTGCTTTGCCAACTGCGCACCCAAAGTAGGACTGGAAATAAAAATAATAGAAAACATTTTATATTATGCAAAATGTAAGACATTTTTAGTTTGTGTAGAGAACATTTAAAAACTGAGGGTTTTGAGCTAGTTGCCTGTGTACTAATGGAGCAAATTAGACAAAATACTAAGACCCACTGCAAAATAATAATAATATAATAATAATATTTTGCACATTTGAGACACGACGCCATCTAGTTTCAAACTAAGCAGAGCTTGTACTATGAAAGCTAGATTGACTAATAGAATACTTATTTACTTTTTTTTTGTAAAGACATCAAACGTAGAAAATACCCAAAATTCGAAACCAAAAGGTAAATATAAGGTATTATTAGTTACCAATAAAATAATTAGTTTTATAAGTAAATAACTCACAAATGAAACTCCACTAGGATCCAGCATGTACATCTGGGGGCCATCATAGCTGTTCCATGTTCCCATCACTAATGAACATCCATAAGGGCGGACAGCACTGTACAAAGTGTATGCATGCATATACATGGATACACGTTCATTCAAGTACTTTAGAGGTACTGGGGCACCATATTGCGATCTGTAGTTAGAGGCTTCAGAACGGGCTGTTTCTACAATTTGTCTTGCATCGGATATGAGACCAGCTACTGCCTGTAATTAGGTTGATTATTTTTTTAAGTAAAAATAATGTCCTCACTCTTCTCACACTTGGACATATAATTCTAAACTAGGCAGATTCTGTACTATGGTAACCAGACTGCTGATAAACCTACTTATATATTTCTAAATACATAATTATAGATAAGTAGCACTCAGACACAGAACAAATGATAGTGCTCATCACACAAATATTTGTCCTGGGGGGAATCAAACCCACAACCTCTGGCTTAGCAGTCAGGATCACTAAGCACTAACAAGCACACAACAACATGATATTGTTCTTATTTAACAAGGCATAGAGTTCTAGTACCTAGATGAGTTCTAATAAAGTATTAAAAAAAATAACAAAAAAACATATTCTCTAATTATTAGTATATCAATGCTTATAAAGTATGAGAAAATTCTTACCATGCCAACATGCTCATCAACATGGAATATCCTCTTGTTAGCACCCGGTTCATACAATTTAGAAGTAACCAGCTTCTCCACAGCAAATACTACGCCATCCTTACCACGAAGGCCAATTACAGTGCCAGAGTTTTCTACAGCTTTAGTAGCATACTCAACTTGGAATACCCGGCCGTCGGGTGAGAATTGTGAAGCAGAAAGATCATACTGAAACAGAACATTAGCACATCATTAGATTTGCAGAATTTTTCAAACATTTAACAATTCATGTTTATCCACTTTACTAAAAGTAATGTAGATAAATATGAATTTAGTGTTAAAACCAAGTGGTTTTTATTTTATAATGGTAAAAAGTTGTTGCTGTAATTACAATATAACCTATGCGGTGTCTCTGAATTTAAAACAAATACTTACACCTGTACCGATAGAACTCATGTTTTAAGTTATTTATATTTCTAAACACAGAATCCAAATGCAGTTTTACCACTTTAGCATTTATAACGTAACAATATTTTTAAGTTTGCCCCGGCGATGACAAGCAACTCAGACTCATTCAGTTTACTTTGTCATTGGCATGTTTTATATTACAGCGTTTTGATCAGAATAAGTGGATTACGTTCCATTTAAGTTTCATAAAAACCAAAACATGTGCAATATTTTCATTTTAAGATTTAAAAAAAATATAATAAGAAATATATAAATAAATTATTGTAAACAATCAGGTAAAATGTTTAAAAATATGTTCAAAATTTAAAACACCAACAAATAATTACTTTTTAAAAGAGAGCTACCAGCAACACTGCTTATAATGGAACATTCGTCAAAACAGCCAATAAGCTGAGGTATAACATTTACAGAGAAAACGAACTTCCCAACTTGACAAGTCATTCTTAATTATTGTTTATGGTAATAATGGCCATGTCTACAGAATTTTATTTGCGGTACCTTATAGTTATACAAAAGAAAACATTTTGAAATGTATCTGACTTCCAACTGTTTTTCTGTATGTAGTGTAAAATGGGAAGTAAATTACCTAACTATTAATTTTTCAAATTCAAATAATCTTTATTTTCATTAAAAAAAAAATATATATTCTTTGAAATCGTCTTTTATGTGGAAGTAGAATCTAAAGTCGTAGATCAACACACACACAATAGCAACAATCTCTGTTTTGTCAAATAGTAAGGAAAAAATATTTATAAAAATTATGCTTATATGATATGCCTGTGGCGATTCACAACCGCCCGTTTCTAAGGGGTTGAGAGTTATGAGAAGAAATTACAAACAAAGTCATGGCCACTCTTTTGAAATTTACAGATAAATACAATGGCATCATTAAATATACCACAACATTGTTCCCAGGTGTGCCAGTATGTCCGTTATTAAGGATTAAAAGGTAATACACAAAGAACTAAGGTCACCGACATAGCGTACCGGATCAGCAAGTTGAAGTGGCAGTGGGCTGGCCATATTAGCCGCAGAACCGATAACCGTTGGGGAAAACGAGTTCTTGAGTGGAGACCGCGTCTCGGCAAACGTAGTGTAGGACGCCCACAGGCCAGGTGGAGTGACGATTTGCGCAAGATGGCTGGCAGGAGCTGGATGCGAGAAGCCCAAAATCGATCTAAGTGGCGTGCAATGGGAGAGGCCTATGTCCAGCAGTGGACTGCGATAGGCTGATGATGATGATGATGATGACACAAAGAACTTTTTACTCGTCTTGTTTTCTTATTTTTTCTAAAATACTTCACCTACAATCCGTTAGATGGCTCTATCCGAAATTAAGAATTCCATAGCTGAGGAAAATGACTATTCAATTTTGTATTATTTCGTCACAAGCCCTATTTTGTATTCGGTCAACTCTAGTACTCATATTTCATGACATAATGTGACATACGTTAAAGCATACCTACAACCGAAATGGCTATATCTTTCCTACTAGGTACTTTTACTTATTTCCTAATTCCTAAATAGCATTTCAGAAAGGTATGGAGTTAGAATTCCGAATTTTTGATATGTAGTAATTACAATTTATCATATTAAGGTGTGAGTGTAAGGAGTAAGTGACCCGATTAGACCACTTTCAGCAGGCGACCATTTGACGGATTAAGTTCCTATTAGTCAAGATATAGCATTTCTAGAAGTAACATTAACAAAAAATTAAAATTTTGCGTTTTTTAAACAGTTATCAAATTTTAATAAAAATGTACATAATTTGTGACAAATGATTTATCACAGCACCGAAAAGCAAAATGGTCAATATGCGAGACGATTTAGTGGTGTGGTTTATTGATGATTTAAAAACAAAAATTAAGTACTTTTTCAAATTTATAGCCTAGTTCTGTGTTTAGTTACAGCAATCGTTAAGTTTTGAAATTATTTAGTTATATTTTAATATGTTCATGCATAATACTACATCACCCGAAGGTCGACTGGCAGAGAATGCCTTGGGCATTAAGTCTGCCTGTGTAAAATTTGTGCATTAAGTTAAATAAATAAATAAATACTAAGATAAAACTCGGTGGTCGGTAACCGAAGTGACAATATGTCAAAAACGTTGGATTGCGACCACGTGGTCGCAAAGCGACGAATACAGCAGTATTTTGTTTTGCTTAGTGTGATCATAATGGTTCATACATTGTAAAAGTGCAAAGATGTAATTGTTTAGTAGACGACCACCAGTTTATTTAAATAAATTTTGTTTAATTTACCTACAACCATAGGCTAAAAAGGCGGTCGATAACCAACACAATTGAAATAAAGACCGCAAACTTAAATACTCGTAAATAAAATAATTTGTAATACTATGATAATGTGTTTAGTGCGATCACGGGTGGTTTACGTGTGTTGTTTAATTAATTGTCTCATTAATCATTATTTAACAAGTATCAATGTAGTCCTTATTTGACGAATGTTAAAGAGGATTACTTTTCCGTTTATACCATTAGAATTAGGCATAAAAGTAGACAATATTTTAAACTATTTTTTAAGATAAAGGTCTAAAACAATAATCGCACACACAGAAAAAAAAGGATAAAGATACTCCCATAAAACTAAATGACATTCGAATATAGGGGAATAAAGGAAATTGGTAGACTGTATCAGATCCTTCGGACTAGAAATCAAAATAGTGGAAAGAGATATGACGCTATCGACTCAAGGGGTAAAGATCCTGTACTTTGTATAGAATCGAATAGAAGAAAAAATCGGGTTAAAGAGGGGTTTTTGGCCATAACTGAACATAAACCATAGACCATAGTATGAAGAATCTCTTCAAAGATCCCGAATAGACCGGGACAAACCTGGTTTTTGAATCACTGAAATCTTCGTGAAAGGCGGTAGTCAGAAACTAAAACGGCAATATTAAAAACATTTTAAAAAAGATTATAATTATTTTATTAACGTATTTATCATATTAAAATAGTGGTCGCAAACCAGCTCATCGGTGGTGGTCGTAAACTGATGAAAGTGGTCGTAAACCGATGTTTTGGCTATATTTGCAATTTTTCAGAATTTTATAATAATTTATGAATGAAGGTATTTTATTTTATGTTATGTATCAAAACTAGACTATACGTGGGGCATACTGAAAGTCTCTGGACCTGGCCACTTACAATAAAATAATGAAAAAACAATTATGGAATTCAAAAATGAAACTCTTTGGGAACATGTAACTTTTTAATTTGCGAGACTATCCTTTGTTTTTTCATTGTGACGTTTTATGCATGCCTGCATGCATGCATTTTATGCATGCATGTTTGAGGCATGCCTTTTCAGGTTTGTCGTTAGAAGAAAAAAACACAACTAGAACCTTATAGTACTTTTTATTGTTTTTTCAAAGTATTCACCACGTAGCTTAATACACTTTTCCATTCGCTCAATGCTTCTTCACCGGACTTGAATACGAACAATTTTCTTAATTTTAGGAAATGTAAAGAAATCGTTAGGGCTTAGGCCAGGACTGTATCGAGGATGGTCAAGAATTTCTACTTTTTCCTGCTTCAAATACTCAATCGTTTGACGAGCGCTGTGTGAGCTTGCGTTGTCGTGGTGCAGGATGATGCGTTGCTTTGAGTTAGATTTTCGAAGTTCGGCAATGACTTGTGGTAAACAAACTGTGGTATACTCTGCGTTAACCGTTCTACGATCATCAAGTGCAATAGTTTGGCTCTGCATCGCCCTAAGGTCGACTGGTAGAAAATGCCTACGGCATTAAGTCCGCCTTTGCCACATTTGTGCATAAAGATTTAAATAAAAATAAAAAAAATAGTCGCAACATGGCCGGTTTTTCCAACGAACATGGCCACCATCTTCTTTGAAGTGCTTCGAGAACGAACAACTTTAGTCGGCTTTGGCTCGTATTGAAATACCCAGATTGTAGATTGTTGTTTGGAATCAGGATCGTAGGCATAGATCCAAGATTCTTCACCACTGATGATGTCGTAGACGTGATTTGACTCTCCTCGGTTGAACCTTTGCAGAGTTTTTCTTATACCATCTGACGCGGACCGCCTTGTGATCGTCGGAAAGCTAGTTTGCCGTTGGATACCGCATCTGGTATCCAACGGCAAACTAGCTTTCTCACACCAAGCGCTTCATGCAAGATCTTCTGAATGGAGATGCCTAATAGAGCCTCTATCTCTCGATACATCACATGACGATCTTCGAGAATTAGTTGTCTCACAGTAATGATGTTATCTTCAGTGAAGGCGGATTTTGGGCGTCCTTCGCGAGATTTGTCACTAACACTAGTATGTCCACGCTGGAATTCTATAATACCAGTGTTCGACAGTCCGCAGACATGGGGCTTCATCACTAAACACAGATGTTAGTTCTTTAATACACTGAAGCCGTGGCAGGCTTCTTCTAAAGTTGTAGAAAATTATTGCGACGCTGTGACTAAACAATAGCATTAATCCTACTACTTTCAACTGTTTTGAGATTCAATATTTAAACACATTAGAATATAAAACAGTTCCAAATTCCAAATTGCCAGGAATTATGGAAACGACAGAATTTAAAAGGCATGCCTAGTAATCGTAGTTTAGAGCATTTAGACGTGGACGTGATCATCTCGATAACGAGGTACGTGAAGGTAGTATAGACTCTAATATTGACACCGTACGACATCTTTTTATGGCATTGGAATGAGCCAAGTGCAAAACATTTTACATGTGCATCTGAAGGTTCGGAAGATTTGCACTCGATGGATACTAACGCATGACTTAACGGAGGACTAGATATGACTGCGTATCCAATGTTGCCGTAAAATGATAAAAAAGTTTAACGGAGGACAGTCATTGGCTCTCTATAATATCGTGACAGGTGTCGAAACTTGGATGTACTACTACAGTCGGCAGAGTGTGAAGGAAAGTTCGTGAAAAGCGTCCTCGAAGCAATGTCCTCCTTTGTCCAAATTCCGCTAAGGTAACAGA